TCAGAGGAAAAAGCTGGTATCTGAAGGAACGAGCCTGGTGAGAGAGTCTCCAGGGCTGGTTAAAGCTGCTCCCAGTGTCACACGGCTCATTATGGAGCTAATCACCGCCTCGACGGTAATTCCTGCAGTGATGTTCCACAGACCTTCACGCAAGGATGGAAGCGCTCTGTCTGCTCCATCACGAGGGCGAAAAGAAATGTTAAATTTTATTGAATGTTAATGAACTTGGCCACAGGTGGCTCTATTAACGGTGCAGTTTATTGTCTGTCTTCATCATCCAGGCCGGAGACAAGTTTGGGGCTGGCTCGCAGGTCTTCAGGGGAGATGGCCAAGCTGAATAAAAGCCACCACTGTTGAGTTCAGGGAGGCACAGGGCACAGCAGGAGCCAAGTCCTGATCCATTCTGCTGAGGACTCAGGGGGCGTCTTGGTCTTGGGTGCAGAGGCCGCCGTTGGCAGCTGGCTGCTGGCCCCAGGGCCCGAGAGCCCAGTGTTGGGGAGGTAAAGTGATGGCCTTTACTGTCGTCAATTCTCAGGGCACTTCTACTAGGATTTCGGATCCTTTGTACGCGTGAGTCCCCCCAGAGATGGCTGTCTCCCTTCACAGTGGCAGATGACTCCAGGGCCTCAAACCCTTTTCAAGGTGGTTTGACCTGACCAACCTCTGGAGTCACATAGACTGGGGTACACGCTTGGCCCTGGCACACCAGCTATGGAGTCTTGGCCACATTATAAAAACTTAGGGATCCCTATTCTACATTAGTTAAGGAATGCTAACAGATACATTTTTAAGCATGTAGAGCTAGTTGCCAGATTTTAAATCCATTTACCAAACACCCAAATGCTTCCCCTCTGCACTAGCAAGGATGCTTTTATATTAAACTCAGATGGTCACGCTCCCCAGGGAGCTGACTAATGCATTTATAATCTAGATGTAAATGGTTTTTTGTTCATTAGGTAATTCATGTTTAAAAACTGGAAAAATTTGCAGAGAAGGGACATAACATTTCTTTGGCAAAAGAAAAAACAAACCTGTCGTTATGACATCTAAAGACAGGATTATCCTAGTAGGACCCACCTGCTTCAGCCTAGCAAGGGAGGGAGGTCTCGTGGTGAAGACTGGAAGGTCCAGTTGAGTGCTCTGAATTAGGTTCCAGGGGTTCCATCTGGGTACTAGTGGAGGCATTTGGAGGTGGTATGTGTATTTGCCCCCTCCCCCTACTTCTGTGCCCTTTGCCCAAAGTCAAGTAAATAAAAACTTCATAAATCGCATTATGGGGAAGACATATCCTGAATGCTCATTTTTCCAAGGGTAATGAAGACATCAGGGCATATAGTTGACTATCTGGTTAACAGAACTAAGAGATCATCTTGTCCTGTTCTTTCCCTTTACAGATGGGAAGCTGTGGTCCGGAGAGGTCACGTGTCCTGCCTAACACCCCCGGGGGGTTACGCACAGAGCTGAGAAGCCTAGAACCAGGTCTGCCCACTCCCAGGCCATTGCTCTTTTCCTAATGGATCTTCTAAAATCATAGCAGGTCCCTTTGTCATTGGTTTCTAAGAGCTACACTCACAATCAGCTTTCTCCTCACAGGAACTTTAGGGACAGGCGCTGTCATCTCTGCTTCGGTTGGGGAACTGCCCAGGGTCACACAGCTGGTGGGGGGGGAAGGACAGGGCTGCACCCACTTCATCCGGCTCCAGGGCTGTTGTCCTCGCCACCGTGCCAGCACTGTCCTCCTGGGACAGCATTTACTGATGAAGGTGCCCAGGGAAAGGAGGGAGTGAACTCGCCCTCCACTGGCCCAGTGGTTGCTGCTGGCTCCCTCCTGCCCTGCTCTTCCCAGGGGGAGCCTTTCTCAGCCCCGCTCTAGCTCAGCCCTTCATGACTCTGCCCACTGTCCTGTCCTGAGGCCCAGCTTGAAGTCCATTGTCACAGCCTCCCATCCTCTGGGAACAACCTGCGCTTCCATTCCTCAAGGATGTTCTGCTTTGGAAATTCCATAGTACGATTTTGAGTAGAAATCATTGAATTTGCTCAATATTCAGCACGAAGCCGGTACAGGAAATGGCCAGGGGTGGCCTCAGCATAAACTCGAGATGACGTTTGTCATTAGTGGGTGAACATCGTGTCTGGACAGGGCACCCATCACGTTTCAAAAATACCTGCCAGTTTCTCCCAGCCATAACGAATGTTTTTTCTTGGTACAGGCGCTGATGCTTACGCTTGTTCCTGGCTGCTCCTCGGTCTCTTCACCCCTCCCCACACCTTATTTTTCGGGTTTATTTTCTGACTCTTTGTCTCTAGGACAGTGTGACATGAGTACTTCGACTCTGCAATGAGCAGCAGGTCTAGGGAGCACTAAAGCAATCAAGGGACCTCACTTGTCTGGCTAAGAAACAGCGAGACTGCTTTCCACCTTCTGGAACTAGTCTAAGGCACCCATTTTGACTTGAAATTTCAGGATTAGAGTTTATAGAGATAATTCAGGCATTTTTCTGCAAGATTATAAAAACGGATTCTGTGCCACTTAGGTTCACTCTTACTTACATCTCCAAAAACACAAAACAAAAAAAGAATTCTGATCTGGAAGAGAACCAGTATGGGGGTTGAGAAAAGGGGGGTCTGTGTTGAAACTTCTAGGTGGAATCCAGTGTCAGCTCGCCTGGTAGACAGTGAGTCATTGTAAGTCAGGGCCATCGAGCTGCTGGAGCATCTCGCTCTTCCGTGACTTTGAGGGACATACTTAACACCTCAGTGCCTCGGTTTCCTTATCTGTAAACTGGGTGTAATCCCAGCAGCTCCCTCACAGGGTTATTGTGAGGATGAAGTGCATTAACTTAAGTGAAGTGACAGCCTGGCACATGGTAGACTCTCAGTCAACACACATTAGCTGTCATCGAACCACAACCAGCAAACTCATGGTCCTAAATAGCCCAGAAGGGCCCTTCAGCAACATGGGTCTCGTGGGAATTCTGGACTTTGGTTCTCGTGGGGGATGCAGAGGGCATCAGAATTTACTGGGACCGTGATTCCTGTCCCGAGCGCAGCGCTGCATGGCCTACCCTTAACCCAGTGCCATGCCCCTGGGACTCCCACAGGCCACCCCATGGCCACCCGCGCAGGGTCTGGAGTGGCCCCGGGCACTCACCTTGCCTCCGCCTGGAGTTGAGCTTCCGAAAGCAGGTCCCTTCCACGAGGCGGTTCAGACGCTGCTGTTTGATCAGCTCCAAGATTTCTGGCTGAATCTTCTCCTTGAGCTCCCTGTGGAAATAAACACATATTCGCAGCAGACCTCGAGGACAGGGCTTCATGGGCAGGGGTACGGGGGGCGAAGGGGGTGCAGCTGATCTTTTCACGAACACCCCAACACCGCCCAAGCTGTGCTTTAGAGAATCATTCATGAAGCGTCAGGGGACAGGCTTATCTGTTACAATAACACGATAGATCCTCTGACATTTACACGATGCCCACAGAAGCACCAGGCGCTTCAGCGATGTTTTCCTAGACCAAAGTGTCCTGAGAAATTTCTTCTCTTGTTTTACAAAGCCATAGATGTCAACTAAGTTTGCTTCGATTATGTTCTCCAACCACTCCATGCCACACAAGAGTCAGGCTCACATGTCCCTAACTCGGGGCTTGCTCTGAGCTGCGGGTCATCCGTCTTCCCCTGGGGTTTTGTTCCCAGGTAGGGAAAGTGTGGTTTTACTGGCTTTGTTCTCACAAATATTCTTCTAATGCTATCTAAATATTTTTTAATGTTTTTATCTATCTCAGATAGAGAAAGGGAGAGGGAGAGAGAGACAGAAACATCAATGATGAGAGTCACTGATCGGCTGCCTCCTGCATGCCCCCTACTGGGGATCAAGCCGGCAACCTGGGCATGTGCCCTGACCAAGAATCGAACTGTCACCTCCTGGTTCATGGGTCAAAGCTCAACCACTGAGCCACGCCGGCTGGGCTCTAGTGCCACCTAAGGGCAGGTAAATCAGTAAAAGGAGGGTGAATAAGAGGTGGGCCAAAGAGAGTGTGAAGAGCAATTCCAAGTCCAGGCCCCAGGAGGCCAGTGCTGTGCAGGGAAGACAGACAGACACGGTGTCTCGGAGGACTCAGGTGCTCATCCAAGGTGCGTCCTGCTCTGCGTTTCTGGCTGTCACCTGCTCGCTGAGGACCCATGTAAAACTGCAGTGGCCCACCTTGGAAGAGCTGGTTGGTGTCACAGAGGTTTTCCAAAGACACAGGGAAGCATTCCCCTCCCCTGCTGCCTCACCTCCTCCCACCCCGTGCAAGTCTGCAGTTCTGCTCTGCAGTTTCTAAAGGTGACTGGAGGTCTGAAAATGAATGCCAGGCAGATGTCCTAGTCGGGCTATTGTCTTTTCAAACCTGTGCGCTTTTTAAAAACCTTGCCTTAATCTTGCACTTGGCGAAGGAACTGTGGTGAGGCAGACAAGCATCACTGAGGGATTAGTGGGCTGGACCTCAAGTCCTGGCTCCTCCGCTGGCTAACAAGGTCCTCAGCTGTCGAGACTGTGTCCTGGTCCTCGAATGGGGATAAGGCCAGCTCATCTCATATGGATGTGAGAAAACAAAATAGTGGAAGGAGGTGTTCTGCAAATTTCCAAGCATTAGAAATGTCAAATATATAAGAGCCAGTAACAGAAAGAGGGGCAGAAAGAAGAAGAATCAGGATCAGAGAGAGAGAGATGAGAGAGGTTTGAGATGGGCTTCCCGATGACACTCATGTCACAAGCTGGCTTCACACACAAGTGTAGAAGTAGCTGTGTCCAGCAGAATGACATGTGTCAATGTCCCCCCCCCCCC